ATTTCTACAATCGCAAAACATAAGATTCAATATATAGGGAGAGATAATACCTCAAATGGTGAAAGATCACAATTGTTTTACCATTGATAAGCCAAAATATTCCATCATTTTTAATATTGCATTTAATAGTGTTGAAATTTGTGTTAAAAAATAAAAATGGCTGATAATGATGATAAACCCCACCACCATAGAGCGATGGATATAAGGCTGGCCTAGCTCTACCACTACCTTTGATTTATGACTACATTGACTGATAGATAAATATGGCGAGTTGATGGCATGTATATAAAGTTATCATATAATGGATTGTAAATGGCTGCTTAGAGTAGCTTCCCGGGTTGCCCTTACAACTGTTGAATTAACCTCTAGAATTGATAGTTAAAGTTTCTTCAAGAAGCCCGATTTCAGTCCTATATAATTTCAACCCTTCACGTCCCTTGATATCAAAGAAACTATGCCATCAGCGTGGTGTTTTAAAATATCAGTTTATATTGAAGGAAATTGAACCTTTCAATCAGAAAGAATGCCAGAAACTTTGAATGCTAAAACAAAAATAGAAAATGACTTAGATATATAGTTTCTTCTATTGAGAAAAAAGGGTTCATAAGGTTTATATAGGGTGATCCTTTTGGTATACTAGAGAATTAAATTTATTATTTTGAGCATGTGTTTATGTGTGAGGTACATCATAATAATAAATAGGAGAATATTTTAAAATAAGGTTCTATCTCAGTGGTTATTGTATATCCGCAAGTTTACAAGAGTCCTTTGACCTATCTCTCTCTCTCTATACGCGTGAGCTCTCTATCTCTAGAAAGACTACTTAATTCGTCATCTACTACACAAGTAATTTGTAATTTTAAAAACTTTATAAAAGGTATATTGAAAATTTTATATCATAATCACAGTCATTACAATATCTCTATTTTCCAATCCTTTTTAAAATCCATTTTTGTTCTCCAAAATGCATCTTCAATATGTTGCTCCAAGAAACACCCAATGCCCACTTTCTTTTTCACATTTATCTTGAAAGAATGATATTAAAAAATTTTCAACTTTTAAATGATTAAATATGAATTTATTTTTAAAAAATGATTTTTTATATTTATATTCAATAATAATAAACGCATTTAATAAGAAGTTCATAATATAAAATACGTATTGATGAATATATATCTCGGCATCTTTTTAGTTGCCACTAATTTCGATTTTTTTATAAGCAAACGATATTTAGAAAATATTATTTTTGATTGTAAATGTTTTAAAATAAAGTTTTGACAGCTACAAGGAGAGTAAGAAGTTCAGTCGAGATAATATGATCACCTCATTTGTCTTCATGATTCTCTAAACTCTCTTTCTCTCACACGGCCTCAGCCTAACAACCACTTCTTAAGTACCCTGCCTGGGTGGATCATCCTCTACTCCAATGAAGATTTTTTTAAAAGTCTTGATTATAATTTAAGCAGCCCAATCATCCATTACTAATGGCAATTTTCTGCCTCGGAACCAATCAAAACTGATAAATCTCGCTTAGCGGAGTGTGGACCGGGGTAATTTGATAGATTAATGGCGGTGGCATCTTAGCCCAGCATCTCACGCTGAGCTGGTTCTCCGGACAGACTTCCTTGGACAAAACATTAGAGGCGATTTTTTTTCATTTCTTTATATCTTATACTGTCTCTGTTGGAATATTTGTCAGGAATAAAATAGCAGGAAAATGAAATGATACCATATTAGGTAAAACAGAGACTAAATATACCTGGACTAACAGACATAGAAAACTCATAGAGTCAAGGTAACGATAAAATTCCAGAACACCTCTGTTGGTAAAATTCAAAATCTTATCTATGAAGACATCGGATTATGAACCTCCCAACTTCAGGGCGACTCTGTTTTCAAGAATTCCAAAAAATGATTAGAGATTTTAAATAGGCTGAAGTGGCTAAACAAATTCTATGTCGAAAATATTGATGGATAATATTTTGTTCAAATTGTTCGTCTGCTTTGATTGGAATGATAGATTTTGCCTTTCAATAATTTTACTGCTATGACTTTGGGTTGCATAAAAGTAGAGTTTGATATTTTAATATGCAAATATATATATATATATCGGGTTATGTCGTTATGTTGATTTGTAGACAAAATGTTGGGAGCTAGTGGAACCAAACGATAAATGTTCCTAAAGAGGTATATAGCCGGAATTCCTCTGTTATACGACTTAAAGACTCAGTGAAACTGTTTCAAACCCACTCTGCCTTCTCAAAATAACCTCAACTTGCATCTAAAAGCCAGTGTAAAGCTTGTGCTATACCGCCATTTTCCGTTCTGGTGAATATTCATTTGAGAAACTTGGGTTTTATGCTATTTTATTCTCTGGATAATAAAGAGGAAAATACATATAGGTTGTAATCAATTTCCTTTTTTGAAAGATATACAATATATTATGACAAAACATTAATATAGAGCAAATTGATGTGGGGATATCAATGTTAAAAAGTAATGCGAAAAAAAGGAAAGAGAGCTACGTGCAAACAACACCCCATCTATCTTATGATCATTTGAATCTAATATATTAGAAAAAAAAGATATATGAAAAAAAATGTCAGCTAATATATAGAAATATTATTGGAATCTCATTTATAAAAGACTCGTATAATTCGATTATTAAAATCTCCAAAAACGGAACAAAAATTGGAAGTTAAAAAATCGAAGCTATATCGAACAAAGGTGGCTTTGTACCCACAGGAAGACACCGCGAAATAATGAAAGGTTATCTCCCATTGGACGAACGGAAATTTGAACTGCGCGTTCCACTCCTAATTGGATTTCAGCTCTTTCCGGAAATAAGATTTTGTGGTTTCAAAGATTGAGTAAAAATGAAATTATCCCCATTTGTTTGTTCAATTTATTGTTAGCTAGATAACTTTCGCGCTAGAATAACTGGTGGGCGCTGAGTGGATTTGGATGGCGCGCGGAATTTCCAGGAAATGTGCAAATAATTTGTTTGCTTTTACCGTAACGGAGAGCTCGTGTGTTTAAATATTGATGTGCGGACTCTTCAGTTCCCTTTTATATATTTCTGAAATACCTCTTTCTTCACCAAAAGATCTTTTAGCCATAGAATTACATTAATCAAATTTCTTTATATATTTATTGTATATTGTTGCATCATGATTAATGCGCGTATTTTAAAAATTATTTATAATATTATTTTTATGATATTTAAAATTTGATTTATATATTTATTTATTTTTATTTAAAACAGATTATTTAGATTATCATCATTCCTTTTTATAGTTTCATTCCTTTTGTAAATTTTATTGTACATATATCTTTATTGCTTATTGGAAAACTGCGGATCACGACCTACGAGGAGGACCAAGAATAAATAAACACAATAACTTGAGAAGGTAATTTATTTTTATTTAATTTTATTTATTTACTTTTATTTTTTTGCTTTGATTATGGATACCCGTTCGGGAAACGTGTATAACACCAAGAAGGAAGAAACCAAAGTCGACGACCCTGCAAATCTGCAACTTGGTGCAACAATATACATTCGTATGCACTTTATATAATAGTGTTTATTATAAGTATTATATATATATTGCAGCCGAGAGAGTAGGGGAATAAATATTGGTACCATTTTCTGTGTTTATTCCCTTCAATTTGCGGTAAACGTTAAATATAGCAAATCAAATTGGCTATAAACACAGAAAATAGTAAAAATAATTATTAAGAAGAATATATAGTTCTCTTATGAGATTACGGGACTTTTTTAAACTTCCACTAAATATTTTTTGCAGATAATGCTAACTATAATGAATGGTTTACGTATGTTTTTACTGTGAGCGCACAACATATTTATTTCAAGAAACATCAGTTTAGCTTTTCACTTACAGGCTGACATTTGCACTCAGTGGTAGATTTGCCCCGGCGTGATGTCTCCTGGTCGCGGTGGGGATAAAGATAACACAGAGGTGGGCGTGCCTAGACTTCGGTCGGCCCCATATTTACTGGAATAAAGAGATCACCTCAATATATCGCGCAACCTGTAAGGCAGATCCACAAATGTATCAAATATGTTAATTGATTAGCTCTGTAATAAATTTTAAGGTCTACTGAACAAATAAGAACATCTAACGAAACTGTCCTGGAGACAAGTATTTCTTGAGAATTATGACTGGGATTTTAAAGCGGAATATCTTCATCTGTTTGGTTGTCTCTAAAATCCAAAGCTTTTTGAGACTCAAATAATGATTTGATAGCAGACAATATTTTGCATTTGGTTCATTTTAACATAAGCCAGTACTTCTGTGGCCTTAAATCAGAAATATTATTTTTGTTTCTTGCTTAAGATTCCATTTTACAGGTACATATGTCTTCTAGGTGTGAGTTTCACTTACAATAAATATTCCAGCAGCGTGAGCCGAAAAGAAAAGAGGGGGTGATGGAAGTATTTAATTGGTTTATCAATATACGTTTATATATTACGTATTAAGAATAAAAGTATTCCATATATCAATATCATTAAATAAGGTAATTAATATTGGATGCTGTCTATATAAGCCTTAACGTACATGTGCGCATATAAGAAGAATAACTTCAGAAATATCAATAAATCAAATATAATACAATATAATGCGGCTTTTGATTGTAAAACGACATTTGAAAATTATCCCGCATGTGTTTCTTTTGAACTAAAAATCAAAATGTATTTTAAGGAGAAATATCGATTATTTCTAACCTTACCAATGAGGTATGAAAGGATGAAGTGTGAAGAGTAATGATAAACGGAAAAATAAAAGTGTCCAGGGATGGGAATTGAACCCCCTTGGTAAGGTTACAAATAATCGTTATTTCTCCTTAAAATACATTTTGATGTTTAGTTCAAAAGAAAAACATGCGGGATAATTTTAAAATGACGTTTTACAATCACAAGCCGCATTATATTGTAATATAAATTACTTTATGTATTATTTACGAACGGAAAAAATATGTCCAGGGTAGCTTAGTGGACATGGCATCTGCCCGGTAAGCGGAAGACTGGGTTCGATTCCCATCCCTGGACACTTTTATTTTTCCGTTTATCATTACTCTTCACAATTCATCCTTCCATACCTCATTGGTAAGGTTAGAAATAATCGCTTTTTCTCCTTAAAATACATTTTGATTTTTAGTTCAAAAGAAACACATGCGTGATAATTTTCAAATGTCGTTTTAAAATAAAATATAATCGAGCATAAATCACATCTGAGAATTAAACTGAAGAATGGGCCAATGTAAGAAGAGTATATATATATATAACGACAACAATGAAGGAGATGCTCCAAAAATGATACCCTCGGAATTGCAACAATAACAGTGTTACAAAGTAACAGCAGCAGCATCGAGGACATAAAATGAGGCCCAACAACAAGAAAACCCCATCGGGAGAGGACCAAGTGTAAAAAATCTAAATAATGGCCTCCTAAAAAGTTGTGCCAGCAAAAAAGGTAAACAGCACCAATCAATCTCTCGGCCCGAGGTGGATCGTCTAATGGAATTTATCCGACCTGGCCTATTTACATGACATAGCGATGTTGGCCTTCATCTCGTTATATCTCTCTCGTTGGGCAGTACCTACGTACTATATATATAGTTGACAATTTGATATTAATTCCTTCAAGACACTAATTTGTTAATAACACACTGTTTCAAACAACAACTTTAGAAATATAAAAAACATAGATAGAACATATTAACATAAGCATAAAAACCCCTCTTAGTAAAAACGTGGCAATTTGGTTTTAACCGTATATAATAGATTCCACCCGCTTAATACGGGCTGTTGCTGTGTTTCTATAAGAATTGGTTAGCCTTGTAGCAAAGAGGAAGTAATCAAATACCTTAGATCATTATTATTTAGATGTTAGAAGGCTTTTCAATGAAAAAATATTCTAAGCTATGCGTATGTAATGCTGACAGGTTTGTGTTCACAATTGTTTGACTGCTTATTAACTCAAAGTTGCCTTCCCGGAGTTAGGACTATTTGTCGCTAATTGATCTGGTGCCCAACTGAGGCGGTCCGATGTGGCGGTGTTAGATGCGGCCGCCATTGACCAGTTACTCTAAGATCTTTTATTGCATATGCCTCTTATGAAATTGGGGTGGACAGAATTTTCTACCATTAGAGCCATTGAGGTCGCATCATAGCTCTACTCATATTGAATCTAGGTAGGAGAGTTTTTTTTTTCAAAATGTAATGTTCCCCAGCAGGTTTAGGACCAGTTTTGTTGAAGCATTATTTTTATCGTGATACACAAGGCACTGCTATAAAAACTTTCAATCTCAAGTTTTAAAATTATATTCTCATATACATTTATATAGGTAAATAATATTGAGGTGAAATATTGTTGCAAAAAGAGGCTTCACAACTCTTCAACTTACCAAAATATTTAAGACAGTTCCCATTTAAAATGAAAATAAAATAGTATTGCCCGCATGCTGATTATGCCTAAATATAACAGTTAACAATCACCTCGATAGTGTGAAATATTATTAAACAGAATGGAGTGTGATAGTTGGTAGGTAATTGAGGAAGGTTGGGCGCCAGATCGATGGGTTGGGGTCAGCATCGACCACATTCGACTGCCCGGCCACATAACAATTACTGACCGCCTCGCACTTCCCTCAACACACATTCATGTATGAGTCAAACTGGATATATATATATATATATATGTTACAAAAAAAAATTCTGCTGTGATTTTAGAAATAGATATATAGAATTGAGCATTTGCTTAAGATTGGTATACATGAGTATTTAAATTGCAGTCGTGATAAAATAATAAAAAATATAATTACATTTTTTTTTGCTTTAATTGTGCTTAAGAAATATAAAATACACAATTGAGAAAGTGTACCTTACTTAAGGCGTGATTAATGAAGAAAACAAAATACATATTTGCAGATATACAAAATATTTGAGCCGGCCAATGGGAAACAGAAATATATTTACGGGGCTGCTAACCAGAATGGATGATCTTTGAGCCTTGATGGACGCAAAAAGCGGAATATATACAGAGTACTATATACAATTCAGTTTTGGAGGGGCTTGAGGATGGGTGGCCAGAGGATAATCGCCGGGTCAGGCCAGGAGAGCCGGGATGTAGAGGAGGATCGATGGGGCAATGTGGTTCTACAAAGTAAAGAGAGAGAGAGAATATGGTTTTACGGGCTACAAACTAACTATGATTTTTGAGCCCAAAATAATGTAGCAAGCAGACAAGCCGCAATGCACTATATCAAAGTACCAAGGTGTTGTACGCAACCAAGGTTGTTCAAAAGGTTAGATTCCCCAGGCCATGGAAGATAAAAGAAAGAAAAATGTTGTTTAGATAAGAAGATTATATAAAGCGGGAATGATTCAGAAACTATTGGGAAAAGATAAATTTTATTTTTGTAAAAATAAATATATAAAAGGCTTTATATAAAAAATTGTTAATTAAAAAAAGCTTTGGAAATATATAAAATGAATGTGGTAGAGTTATCGGGTAGGGGCTAGACGACTTCATTTCTACATTTGGAATGTTGTGGTGTAAAAGGGATTTAGCGACTTGTTTAAAATATTTTAAGACATGTTAAAAGTACTAAATTTTAGGATAGTTTAATATATTTATTGAATGCGCTTTGGTATATGTGTTGAATGGTAACGATCTCGATTGAAGGAAGCGTCTTGACAAAAGTGTCGGGATTTTGGTGTACCGAGATTTCGTCCCACTCATGATATTGGTTTGTCAGGATTCTGGTTAGGATCCCTTTTTTAGAAATATTTGATTGAATATATGATAGTAAATATAAAGTGTGTTAGTGCAGCTGTGTGATGTTGCAGCAGCAACAGCAGGACACTGTCCACTTCCTGCACTACCTCGAGCCCGGCACGTGGTATGTCTCCCTGCTGAATGACGACGTCAAGCCAGTGCACCTCACCTTTGTCCCCTCCGTTGCCAGTGAGTACCACAAGGTGGACATAAAAATACTAAGACAATATACCCATATAATATTTCCAATATATATAAATTGTTTTTTGAAAATCACACCCTATAATGGAATATCTAAAAAATAGAATTCTTATATAAAATCACTTCCATTATAAGTTTAATTTTTTGCTCATTGACGACAAAGGAGAGTAAGCGCATGCTCAAAAATAGTTGTTTATCTTCTGTCATAAAACAAACATAAAGCGGAAAACGAAAATATAGTTTATAACTTGGTAAATCTCCAGCTGGAGCCGATCAGATGTTTTCGAAGTTTACAGCAAAATTTCTTATCTTCCAAATGAGTTTGATGTTGTTTGAAATTTAAAGGGTTTAGTATACACGTCGAAGATGTATCTCGCCCAGGTAACTTTTCTTTTTGGCAAGTCTTGCCATTATCTGAAAAATGTCGAAAAAATCATTTTTTTAATACTCAATGATTTGCCTTTGACATTAAGAAGGTTATCTGAAGAGATAAAATTTTCAAAATTAAGTATTCAGAATATTTTATCTCTTGAGTCTTTTCAAACAAAAAAAAAAGGTTATTTAAAAGAGTTGGTACCAAAGCAGTTAAGTTATAACAAAAGAAAGTCGTTCAGAAACATGTTAAAAACTTTTTAATACAGCTGAAATTATTTCTTGAAAATGAAGATACTTCGGCCAGTAAATATTTTTATTACCTCGACTATTTTGTCCTCGTCAGGAGCAAACAAAAATTAAACATTCAGCAAGGCGTTAATGAATGGTACATATACAGAGGCAATGTTTGGCGAGTCAGCGAAGTGCTATTTCAGAATTATTAGATGAAAATTACATGAAAATGCTTGAGGAGAGGTAATAAAAAGATTTACTGGCCGAAGTATCTTCATTTTCAAGAAATATGAATGCCGGCCAGGCAGCCTCAATATTTACGATAGCTGAAATTATGTTAAATATTGTTTGAAAATATCATTGCTTTTTATGAAACTGGGTGTTACCAAAAATAAACGTTATCAAGGGGTCAATGGTGAAGCACCTCTTCATCAGAAAACGGATTAACAATAACAAAAATAAAATCCACGTATATTTGAATCCATAAATGAGACAAGGGGCTTCAATTATATTTTTATGTGGGCGGCATGTAATTCTAGGCGGAGTCAGATAACAAATTATTTATTGTACAATAAACTTTTAATTACATTTATTTAATACAAATTATCAGAAGGGGTTGCATTGTTGTATACTACATGTTGAAGTTATTTTTTTATCTGTGTGTGTGGTCAAATATCATTTCTAGATTATAAAATGTTAGATATGTGTTTGATATATTATAGATATTTACATTTCATATTATTTATGATTTATATTTAGAATGATGTATAATTATTTTATTATATTGATATGACAACAATTAATATGATATTAATGTTAATTCATATAATTTTGATAAAGTATATTTTATGAGCATTATATATTTATAAGATGAATAATATAATATTTGAATTGAATGGTTATTAAACAAATTAAAACTTATAATGAAAATATGAAAAGTTAATATTTGGGAGCCGCTACATCACTCCCCCGCCAGTGAAGACTTAAAGTCGAAAACGTACGTGGCGTCCAAGAAATTCTAGTGAAGGTTTTCCGAAAACGCTTTTAGATATATTGACTGTTAATCCATCATCGGAAAGTCTTTGGAAGATTGTATGTAGATGTTGAATGTGATCATTTTCATTTTTACTGGCGATCAAAACGTCATCAATGTAAACGAAGACAAAATCTAGACCTTTTGTTACTTCATCCATGAATCTTTGAAATGTTTGGCTTGGGTTTTTTAAACCAAAGTTCATGCGTGTGAATTCAAATAGACCAAATGGCGTAGTTATTGCCGTTTTGGGTATGTCTTCTTGGTTAATTGGAATATGGTGGTACGCGCCTTCACGAGATCTATTTTGCTGAAAATTGTACAACCATGAAGGCTTTGGGTGAAATCCTGAATGTGCGGAATGGGGTAACAATCAGGTTGGGTCACAGCATTTAGTCTTCTGTAGTCGCCACATGGTCTCCAGTCTAT